CCAAGAGCCTCGTCAGCGTCGGCGCGAAGCCGCATGGGCGCGACGCCATGCGCAGCGTGGGCGCGCAGAGCGACTCATTCTTCAGACGGTCGCGCACAGCGAGGTTTCCAAAGTTGGGCGCGAGCATGAGTGAGAAGACTTGGTCTGCAGCGTCAAACCAGCTGCGCTCTCTGAGCTGGCAGTCTTGCAGATTATGCGGGGCGACCTCCGCCGCGTTTGCTGAGACGTCTGCCCATCCAGTGCGCAGGTGTAACACTACCAAGGCGCGTCGCGCACTGAAGTTGTTGCAATGGATTGCCAGCTTGCCTGCGTCGGACCACGCTGGTGGCACCTCCGTGCGAAGCTCTGCGTGCATAGAGCGTACGGACTCCACAACTGAGGCCTTGGGCCTGCTCGTGAGTGCCTTGACGGCGCAAGGGATGTCGCCCGGCTTTCTCGGGATCAACTTTGGCGCATCGAAGAAGTCCTCGAACTTGTACAAGCGGCCGCCGGCGTGGCGGCTGCTATTCACAAGCGCGCTGCAGTTTTGTCTGAAGGCTTCTCGAGCGAGCCCACCAACGATTGGCACCGTGTTGCCGAGCCCACCCGTCAATCTGGATGGCCACACTGTCAGCTGACATTCTGCACGCATCGTGCCGCAGGCTGACCTGGCGGATGCAGCCGAAGGGAGCTGAAGAGCGGACAATGTGTACAGTAGCGTGCGGAGCAGCCCTCTTGAAGACATTTTGCCCAAGAGCAACGGTGTGCGTCACGGAGTAGCATGCATGTTTGGTTTGTTAGAGAGAGAGTTTTAAGAGTTTTAAGAGTTGTAGGTTTGTTGTTGGCATTTTCAGTGTACGTACTTTTAGCTTACTGGGAGAAAAGAGAGAGGGGGTTGTGTTCTCTAGGCCCCTAGGGGCCCTACGCGCGGCGTGAGAGCTCGGAAGCGAGCTTAGCACGGCGATCGAGGATGGCACGGTTCACCCCCTTCACCGAAGCGATGGAGATGCGTTTCTCTCTCTCAGTGTATGTAGCTCTTACGAACATACCCGTAGGTGAACTGCTGACAGGGTTTGCGATGAGGAGCGATCCGAACGTGGTATTCGGGTGATCAGATCACTACCGCCGAAGCGCAAACGCTTGGAGCAAGGGAACTGCCACGTATGGGTCCCAGACTAGCACCCCACCTCGCGGGCCGACGTTCTGGCCCAGCAAGGCTGCTGCGGAGCACTCGGGGCCGATGTTCTGGCCCAGCGAGGCCGCTGCGGGGCACCCGGCGGCTCGGTTCGCTCATCAGCGCAAACTCGGTCGAGCAGAAAGTAAGGTGTGTGTGTAAAGGCGGCGCGGCACGATAAGGGTCGGCGGTAAGGCGGCGCGGCGGCAGCAGGCGGCAGGCAGGACATCGGACGGCGGGACATACGGCGCGGCGGGCGCGGCACTGTAGGAGCGGCGGTACGGCGGCACGGCGGTAACGGACGGCAGGGGGGGCGGCAGCAATAATATCGTTGGCCGAAGCCTCGTTGGGCCGAAGCCTCGGTGGCCGAAGCCTCGGTGGCAGAAGCCTCGGTGGCCGAAGCCTCGGTGGTCGAAGCCTCGGTGGCACGGAGGAAGGAGCGGCACGGTAAGGAACGGTG